CTTGTTCATTTAGCCTTTATTTGGTTCAGGGAAGAAATAATTTAAGAAATAAGACAGAGATGGAGAAGAGATAAATAATAAAGACATATGGTAGATTTTTTGTGTTTTCTGGTAGGAGAGAAGTGAAGAAGAAATTCTTAGAGATTGAAAAGGCATTTCTCTTCATGGGTGGGTGGGGGGAGGGGGGTAAAAATAATGTAGGGCCCACCATTAACATTTCTATCCTCACGCTCTCTGTTCACACACTGAAAAACACATATTCTCCATTTTCTCCGAAGTATTTTTTTCCTCAATATTTCTTTCTTTTCTATTTCACCTTAACTGCACAGGCTTAAACTGTTACATTTATTACTATTCAACTTTGACAGTGTACTCTATTTTTTCTTCAGGTATTCTATGGTATATTGTTACAATATTTTGCAGTTCAGGCAAACACAGCTCCATTAAACTTGAAGCTTTTGGATTTTCTTGTTAAGCCAATTATGGAGATGAGTGTAGAGACCCCATATTTTGCAGCCATATGTGCTCGCGAGCGCATACAGAGAACTAGGGTTTTGTTCTGCGAAGATCTTAAGAATGAAGGTTGGTGATGCCGTGTTCTTTAATGACAAAAAAGTACTCATTCGAAAACTATCCCAAAAAAAGAGAACTATTTGAAAACGTAGTTATCCCAAAAAAGTTTAATTTCATTACCTAAATTTTCATGTAATTATCTAATAGCATGATAAAATAGTTCTCAAACACTTTAAATATGTGACATTTAGTTAAACTGACAAAAAAAAATTAAGCATACAAATATATTTTTATGATCTTAAAGTTGTACCTTGTTAATATAGAAAGTTGTACCTTGACCTTTAATTTACACTATGGTAGGAAAAAGTGGTTGGCCTTCAACGAAAACCCTATTTCTTTTGAGACTTTGGTCTCTTATATTTCCATCCTCTGATTTTCGCCATGTTGTCATGACTCCGGCTATGCTATTAATTTGTGAGTATTTGGCACGGTGTCCTATCACATGCGGCCGAGACATTGTAGTTGGATCCTTTTTATGCTCTCTGGTGCTCTCTGTAAGTTCCCGTATAGCCATATATGGACTACCTACCTAACTAACTAAAGAATATACTCTCTTTGAAATTTTCACTTCAAGTTTGAGCATCCCATTACTTTTGCATAACTTCTCCTGCAGATCACTAAACATTCTCTGAAGTACTGTCCCGAGGCTATAATCTTCATTCAAACATTGCTACTAGCAGCCTCAGACAAGCAACAATTAGATTCTAAAAACTCTCAGGTTTGCTTCAAATGAAACTTTTGCATTACACATGTTCATGCGCGCGCGCACAGACATTATCTCCATTAAACTGGAGAGATTTACAGACTTACACCCTTATTTTCATCAGTTGAATACTCTTCTAGAGATTAAAGGAGTGAGGCCTCTGCTTCATATACAAAGCAAAGACGCAGAGATTAAAGATTTGAATCTTGTTATGCTGCTGGAGTTACCAGTAGAGTCATCTTACTTTAGCTCCAATGATTTCAGGTGACATTGTCGTTCTTATAATGTCTTTTTTTATGGTTTCATTCAAGAGGGTAATTGCAGCAACAACAACACTAACAACCCCAGTATATTCCCAACTTAGGGGTCGGTTTAGAATCTGAAAAAAATACTAGAGAAAGAAAATACTACGTAGCTAGTAATATTTGAAGGAAAAGAATTATGTGGAAAAGAAAAGATGCATTCCAACTCAATAAATTTATCATAGATTTTTTAGTGCTAAATTTATCATAGACTTTGTTTAAACTCATTTAATTAATAAATTCATTATTTTATTTATATCTTTTCATAGACACTATGTAAGCTAAGTACATGTACAAAAAAATTAAAAATATTGATATTTCATTTTCTTTTGCATTTTTATACAGTTTAACATAAAAATTACCCCGGAGTAACTTTCTGTAGCATTTGTTTTCCAGATCCAGATGCATCCTAAATATATAATAACAATTAAAACTGGTTTTCTGAATTCTTCTGGATTCTGTTCCTGGACCACAGAATCTCTTCTCATAATTCTGCCAAACACTGTATAAATGAATTTTCTTATATAGGATGCCTGAAAAAACAAATCAGTTTCAAAAAGTTGAAACAAACATCCTCTAACATGATTAGTTTTATTCCTCCCTGGGTCTGCCAGACTTTAATGAGTTTTGATTGGACCTTTGTATGCAGGGCTAGCATCCTTGCAACAAGCATGGAGACACTTCAAGGATTCATCAATATTTATGAAAAGTTTAATTCTTTTCCTGAAATCTTCATCCCGATTTCAAAACTTTTGAATGAATTGGCAGTACAGAAGCATATGCCAGATGCATTGCAAGAGAAAATCAATGGGGTTATCCAGCTAATTCATAAGAAAGTTGAGTACCATCACGTGCTGCGTCAACCTCTAAGAATGAGGAAGCAAAAGCCTGTCCCTATCAAAATGTTCAATCCTAAATTTGAAGAGAAGTAATATTTCTTGCTGCTTATTCTTCCTATTACATTTTTTTTAATGTTGTCTTGCGGTATTAATTTAGAGTTATATCAGGTTTACTCTATCGACTAGTGACTACACTATTACTGAATTTTATTTTCATACATATTTCGTCCTAGATAAAGGGCGTTTTTGTCAAATTACTAAGTTTAACCTGAATTCATCCTCGATCAAAGTATGCATGAGAACTAATTCAAGTCTAACATGCATTCTTGATGAGCGAATAGAGTGCAAAAAAAAAAAGAGCTTAGGACTATCTATCTATTATTACCATAACATTGGTTGTTTGATTATGAATTTTTGAAATCTGCAGCTATGTTAAGGGTAGAGATTATGATCCAGACCGTGAACGAGCTGAGAGAAGGAAGTTAAAGAAACGGTTGAAGCAGGAAGCGAAAGGGGCAGTTCGGGAAATTCGTAAAGATAATCATTTCTTGTTTGGGGTGAAGGATAAAGAGAAAGCAGCACTAGCAGAAGAAAGGAGTGAGAAGTTTGGGAAAGCTCTTGCCTTTCTTCAAGAACAAGAACATGCATTTAAATCTGGGCAATTAGGAAAAGGCAAGAAAAGAAGAAGGTGAAGTTCCAACTTCTGGTGTGACACCCATGTGAGAAAAAAACATCAATTACATACTCCCTCCCCGTGAGAAGAGACATCTTGGAGGCTATTTATGGCATTTGATAAATACACATAGCTATGTTCAACAAGCTTGTACTGCTCTTGTGTGAGATGTATTTGTGTGTTTCTTTGTGTTTTTTTTTTTTGGTGTGTGTGTTATATGAAAAATTAAACTCCTGCATCAGAACAGAGTATTGTCTCAATTTTGTCTGCATATTTAGATGGTGTTTGTTTCAAATTGTGTTTGAAAGATTTGCTATATTTTTAGTTTTTTTTTTGGAAATTTACTTGTAGTTGTTGATGTTGATGTCTTAAGGCTGTTTAATCTATCCACACACTTTGATATTTATTATTATTATTATTATTATTATTATTATTATTATTATTATTATTATTATTATTATTATTATTATTATTATAATATAGCATGCTACTAAGTGAGGTAGGATAAAAATTTGTTTAGTACTTATTTATTTATAATTATAATTATTACTCCATATTTTATTTTGACCAATCCAGCAGACCAGCACATTCCTTTTCTTTTTTCTGTTTTCGAAATTTTCTAAAGGCGTGTTCGGAAACCAAAAAGTATTTAAAGAAAAAAATTATGGAGAAAAATATGAACACTAATTTAACATTGTCTACAAAATTCAAAGGGACGTCAATAAAAAAAGAATGATGACTTTGTTTGTTGGTCGGGTGATTATGACCCAATCCGCCGCGAAATTTGAACAAATTAAATTAATAATTGTCCCCATTTACTTAGGAATAAAAAAAAGAACAATACCTTTTTGCCGACCTTATTTTTGTTGGACCAAAAATGCAAATCCGAAAAAGCTAAAAGCGACTCCCAACTTGCTTGTCCCTCCTTCCTCACTCACCACACACATCAAATATATTATTTTCTCAGTATAAAGATATTTTCTTACTTACATTTTCGTCTCTTTGAAAAATATTATTTTCGTTTTCATTTCCGGCTTTGTGAATAGTGAACAAGCAACTTAGATTGAAATAGAGAGAATATCAAACAACTTATAATAGCAAGTAGTTAGGTCTCAAAATCTCCGACACCAGTGTTCCTTTTGCCAATAGCGTTTCTTGCTTCTCGGGGTGTCTAGGTGAAAATTTTGTTAGGGATCAAGATTGATATGGGCAAAAAACCAACAACAATAATAAATGGTCAGTAAGGTATCTACGACTTGAAGTATGTTTGATTTTTAAACACTCTGTCAACACTTATTCAAAATAAGATCTGATAAGAACATTTTATTTTATAAAATAATCGATACTATACGTACAAATAAATAAAAGCTCGTGTGATTTTTGAATGGCAAACTGTGACAGTTTTTAGACGAAGCGAGCATTACGCAAATGGGGGCAATTCAAATGACATCCATCTGACAAGGACCTTGTAATCTAATGACACTGCTATGACTCTCCAAAATAAGAGATCACATGTTCGATCTTCAGTGCAAACAATAACTCTACAAGCTTTTATATGTTGAAAATATATTAATAGATACTATAGAGTTATTAGTTTTAAAAAAATGACACCCAACCAAATCTATATTCATCATTATGGTTAGTGGTTACCCAAGCTTGTCTCAATCTCATTTTTTCTTTCCACACAGCACAAGTTTCTATTCCAGATCCGACCAAGAAAAGTCCTTTTTTTAAAAAAAGGGAAGAAAATTCCATCTTTGAAAGTTCATAGGTTCATCTTTAATAATCATTTCCTCCCTACCCATTTGTGGTTTCCAAGAATCCATCAAGTCAAATCTGTCACATGGTCAACTACAAATCTGCACCTATCCAACTGACTTCTGATGAAGAAATTGGACATGGGTCATGTTCAATGTACCCCCAAAAGGGTAAGTAGATGAAGTAAAAACCATTTCTCTAGAAGAAGAAGGCCAAGTAGCATATATAGATATATTTACATTCACTGGCTAAGTTTAATCTCTTTTTTTTTACCTCAGTAACTGATTGATATTTCAGATTAATAGAGCCTAAGATTGCATATTTACACGGCAAGAGACAGATAAATTAATTAGGACTATTTTTTTTCCCTTATTTTTTTTTCAAGAATATGATCTGACAAGGCCGAAATTGCAGAAGGATCTTGACTTGAAAATGCCACCAAAGAGTGACCTGGTGGGAGATTCTTGAGGAACAGATGAACTTAGCTCTCTGGGGGTACCCTTCACTTGTAGGATAGTCTGTCCTATCGTCTGCCTCACTGACTCTATGATCTTTGAATCGACTGGGTACCCTGAGGCATCCCGCACGTAGAATGTATTGACAGCTTTGCCCCCGCGGGTCGTGACTTCGGCTCTTGTCACACTCAGACTGTTCTCCCGGAATATCCGCGTCACATCTGATAGCAGCCCCACTCTGTCTGTTGTGCAAAGCTCTAGCTTCAATCCCTGCATATAAAAAAAGAAGAGAAATTTGACTATCACTCAAAATCATCTAGAAAGGGTAATTGTGGAAATTGGAAAATAAGCAACTCTTTAAGGCCACATTTGGCTTAGCTTCTAAATTTTTTTATATATAAAAAAACAGTTCTGCATTTTCTGACCTCAGATACCCTTCTTTCAATAGCTGCTTCAAGACAGTGAATCACTCTTTGTCGTTCCGCATCCGACTTCACGGGGGACCCATCAATGTGTCTTATGCAATACTCCTGCAAATCAAACCATCAAATCTACCTTAGTACATACAGAATGTTTCTAAAAACAAATAATGGGTTCTTGATATGTTATGTAATCACCTATTATATTACAATAACAACTATAAACCCATTAAAATCCCACAAAAAGTAGGATCTAAAGAGGGTGTTTTACCCCTAACATGAAGTAAAGAGACAATTTCTAAGAGATTCCTGGCTAAGAAACAGATTTTTACAATGTACTGAAAAAGTCATAATTGACAGTTAATACGGAATGGAGTGAGTATGTTATTTCCTCAATAAATAGACTTTTTTACCTGATTAGCTTCGGGACCCTCGGCATCAACATTGCCATGGAAGACTATATATTCCATGTCTGTCAAAGTGCAGATAACATCAAAGAGAAGCTTAGGTCTGTCCTTGCACTGAATCGTCACAACCGAGTAATCCCTGTCGTGCCAATTAACAACGTTCACATTAGGCCTTTGTTGATGACAATCCAAACCTTCGTCATCGTCATTAACGCGCTCATAATCTCTGTCAGCAAACATCAGCTGGTGAAGCCTTCTGTCAGTGTGAGTAACTCCGTGGTTAATCTGAGTCTTTGCATCCCTGCACTTGTTGCTTCCCCTCAACACGTTGCACAGTAGCTTCTTAACCATGGTCAGTGTTTCGGGATTGGTAACCGGGCCCCCGGTATCCTCGTCCGTGACCTGGATTATGGCTGCTGCCCGGGTGTTGTGGGTCCACACCTCGGCGTTCACCACGTTGCATTTTAGGTTCGTGAGGACCGCACTGACCTCAGATAGTAACCCTGGTCTGTCACTCCCTATTAACTCGATGGAGGTGTGGTTTGGTCCAGAAGTTACCCCAACAGCTCTTCTCATAGATGATTCAAAGCAAGAATCTGGGCCAAGTGACTGGAAAAAGAAATGAAACAAGTTCTTAAATAAGTGTCCATTAACGTGGTGTTTTCAATGTAATAATATATATCGGAAATCACGACAAAAATCCGAAATAAGTCTATTTTAGATTATTTTTCAAACTCATATCATATAAAGAAGTAAAGAACCCACACCTAAATGAAAATTAGAAAAGTCTAGTCCACATTCTTTTGCATTTTCCAATGTCAAAGTCAAAAACATAAGAAGAAAAAAATTCCTTGGTTTTCTTCCTCTCATTAATCTATTTTTCCTAATCTTTTGGAGCAAGTAGATGTAGAAAATGTAGACGCAAATTAGCCAGTTAGTTATAATATTGCAGATGTGACGAACCTTCATAATATAATCCAAAACTGTGTCATCTGTTACCTTGTTTCCATCTTGATTAGTGACATTGAAGACTGCCAAAAAGAATCAAGATAACACATTAACACATTATTCCAAGATAACACATTAACACCGAGCTGTTTTTTTACACGCGAGTAAGAAGTATATTTACCGTCCATGAACCATCCTCCATCAGAGCATATATAAGCCTTGGTAATGATAAGGTTAAGATCAGTAAGAACTTGCACTACCTCCAAAAGTATACCATGTTTGTTAGCACTATCCACCTAAAAATGTTAAAAAAATGTCATAAAATTGTTTCATAGTAGTAAAACCAGATCAGAAGAAAAAAACCAAGAGAAAAACAAACCTGTATAACAGTGGCATTTTTGCAGGATTTATTGTCAATTACCACTCTGACAGCAAGAAAAAAATGGAGTAAATGCCACAGACAAAAATGGGAATGTCTTTTACTTATAAGATTGAGTATTATTTATTACCTTGGTGGATTCATTCTTCTGATGAATTTTTCATACTCATCATCCATATTCTTAGACAAACCCACTGTAGTGTCTGAAAAATATTTCAAATAAAAAAAGTTCAGACAACATAAATGCAACAAAAAAAAGAGGAAAAAAAGTGACAAAAAGAACAGAGAGTCATCAGCATCAATCCCCCACCCATTTAAGATAATGGACCCAAGAGTGCCAACCAAGTAACTGAGATTCTGAAAAAAGGCATGATGAATACGAAGGGGGGGAAACCAAAATAAAGCTGGAAAATTGAACACTAGATCACAAAATACACAAAGTGCTACAGAGAAAACCCACCAAATCTAGAAGGGAAATAAAGCCATTAACCGACACCGCAAGGATAAAACTTGGAAATGAAAACCCAGAATTTAAATTGAGAAGAAAAAAATCAACAATACCCAAAACTCTTCAGTTCAACAAGGAAGCCAAGAATCACAAATTTCAAGAACCAGAGAAGGAATAAATAGGGAAAATAGAACATACCCAGAGAAATTCTAGAGAAATCGTGATCTGGGTCACAAAGATTTCCTTGATTCTCTTACCCTCCGGAAAGAAACGCTGTTATGGAAATGCAGAAAAAATGCTAGATTTGACCGGCCTTTCTCTATGCACTCCGTGCAAATATATATATAAACATATATAAATGCACAAGAAATGAAATTATTACTATTATTCACATAAACCACACGAACAAGACCTGCAGCGTTCTAAAGTGGCACTGGAGAAACTACACAAACAGGCCTCTGGATTTCTAAAGCTCTGTGAAGGAATATATACATATATATAGGGTGTATGTATAGGTGGGTATGTGTGGAAACTCTTTCACTCTACCTTTCCGGTTTCAGTTTCTCTTCTGAAAATCAGTCTTCAGAGCTTAAAAAGAAAGTTCCCAAAAACGAGCAATGACCCGTGGGGGGGGGTTGGGGTTACTCGGCGCATTTTAGCACTACGCCAGGGTAGTTAGGCGAGGCACAAAGAGAGGGTCGACTAAATTGCGCCGTTCCGTACTTTCTCCTCTTTCTTTTTTATTTTCCTTTTTTTATTTATTTATAGGTAAATCACTCAACCAGTTTTTACCCAAGAGTAAAAATCTTTGAAGTTTTGGACCAATGTTGGTACACTCCCAAATCTTTTATGGAAATAGATTGGTAATTATATGCTTTTTAGGGAAAATGTTATTTTTTTAAGAAAAAATATCATCAATTAATATTTGCCTTCTGTCTTAGAAAATCAAAAATTTTATTTAAAATAGTAGCACTAATAGAAAATATTGCTTCCAAACAAGACATAATTTATATACTATTCAAACGTTATCGAAATATTAACACTAATCACAAAGAATGATCCAAACGAATCCTATATGCTCCGTATTTGTTACTCCGTATTTTAATTAATTATAAGCTCGAAAAAAAATATTTGACATAAGTTTTATTTGACGCGTGTCTGATTAATTAATTATGAATCTTTACAATTAATACGAGTTAATGTTTGGATTTGGTTGACAAAGTTTCCTTTTGCCTTAATTACATCATTAAAATTTACTCGCTCCTTTCAAGATTATTCTTCTTCTTTGTCTCCTTGTAATCTTCTATGTTACATTTTGATCGTTAATATTTATATTTATATATAAATATATTTTATAAAAATTTAAAATTTGAAAATTATGTTTCAATAAGAAGATATATATTAGTATTAAATTTATATCATAATACAATCTATTCTTTCCAGAGTCGAAATTTACATAGGAAGGAAGTAATTGATACGCTGTGTTACCATAGAAATTTACGCACGAGTTAACACTCATTTTATCCGTTTAAATATGGCACGTTAATTGACACTTTATGCCATGCTATTTTTTTTAAGGATTATATAGGCCCTGTTTGGGAATAGCGTTAGAGATTAACGTTAGCTTTTTGGATAAAATTTTAACGGTGCGGATTGCTTTGAAAACGCTAACGCTAAACGCTGCCCGTAGATGGCCTTTTTAAAACGCTAACGCTAATTGCTAACGCTATTCCCAAACAGGCCCATATTCTATTACATAGTAATATTTGTTTATACTATTTTCAGTCTATTGACGTTCAAAAAAACAATGTCTACGCCTATGTTGTGAATCGAACTTGGATGAACTTCCTCATGTATCCTCGGGGTTGAACTTCCTATCACTCAATCATAGGAGAATTTCACTTTAGGCTCTGTTCTTGTTGTTTAGAAAAATTAATTTTCAATTTTTTCTTAGTTTCTCCCAAATTCTTTCAATCTCTTCAAACTCTTTTTAGTCTTTTCCCATTTATTCCATTTTTTTCTCATCAATTTATTAAGATAATAATGAAATTTGATTTCCTTCGAAAAAAATTCAACATAAATGAAACAGTATCGGTTGAATCATTTTGTGAGCGGCAGAGAAGTGAAAATAGGGCCATTTTGTAATTTTTTAAAATTGAGGCACTAAAGAAAAATCAATTTACCAATTATTAATTAACATGTGTCTTCCATATATGGCATAAAACTATTTTATTAATTATGATATTAAACTCAAAAGTACGTGCATGCCAATAACATGTGTTTTATTAAGGATTGTACAAATTACTTACCCTCCATTTTTTATCTTTCTTTTTTTTTTCTCGAAGAGCCACGTTTTGTTCCTTCTTATGGAGTGCGATTACGACTTTATGACTTAGTGTACTTCCATATCATTATCACCATTTATTGATAATTTCCTACGTACTCCCTTAACTTTTTTCCCAAATATAAATTACACTTCAATGGTTAGTTTTTTGAAATTTTTACACTAAATAACACTAAAACTTAAGTCATTTCTCTAAATAACACTTAAACTGTTTTATTCCCTAAATAGCATTTAATAATATCCATAATGTCTAGTGATGGCGAATATTTACTTGAATAATGACTAATGCATAATGACTAAAAGTGCTAAATTGGGAAGAAAAACACATGTGGTGCTATTTAGAGAAAGTCATTATGTTTTAGTGCTATTTAAGTAAATTTCTCTAGTTTTTTTATAAATATATTTGTATAAATTATTAAATCATTTTTTAATAGTAAAGTAACAATTAGTTAATTCAACTTTTGACCCTTATCATGGGTGATCCAGAAATAGTCGTCCTGTGTTGTATACATACAAGGGCCCGTTAGACTATTACTTGAGCCGATGATCTCTTTGGAAACAACTAGTCTACCGTCAAGTAGGCCAGGAGTAAGGTTTACGTACGGATCGAACTCTCGCCGGACTTTATTTTAATTTGTGAGATTCAACTGGGTTATTGTTGTTACATTGATCATTTGTTAGAATAAAATAATTACATCGCGTGTTATTGAATTTTATATTGTTTGAAAAAAGTGAAATTTATTTATTTAGCTAGAATTTGAATCATGATCAACTTTTAGTTGAAACTTAAAATCACCATAGAGGTAGACCAAAAGGATAAATAAGTGGTGTACCAAAGAGGAGCCGAGCGGCCGTACGTACAATAGAGTACGAAATAGCACAGCTAATAAACAAAAATAATAAAGAAAGCACACAAAATAATGTATATATATGAGCTGTGGATGTCTCAAAGAGCAATATTATTATTCCAATATTTCAACATGGTATTAGACTCATCGCTCTTGGTGACCTAAAAGAGTTCTTTGCTTCCGCTGCCGCCGCCGGTAATTCTGGCGACGGCGACTCCACCCCATTCACCTCTATTTTCTTTTCTTTCTTTTATCCTCAAATCAACTTATCTATTCAAATGAAAAAATAGGAAAAAAACTTTGTTGAAATCACACAAAAAAAATCATCAAAGGAAAAACTTCTCTCTGTCATCTTCATGGTTCTTCAAAAAAAACTCCAACTCCTCACAAACTCTCTCAACTCATCCTATCTTCTCAAAAAAAAAGAGAAAAAAAAACAATTGTTGTTTCTCTCCAATTCACCATATCAAAATCTCAGACCCAAATCTTTCTTCCATCACCAATTCTTAACTCACTTTTTTTCTCTCTCTCAAATCACTCATTCTAATCATCAACCTCTCTTCTCTTTCTCTTTTGTTGAACCAATAAAAAAAATTCAAAAAAAAACAACACAAAAGCAAAGACAAAAGGGGAAGTAGTGAAAAAGGAAAGAATACCTCTACACCCCTTCAAGAAAGAAATAGGGCATTGCCCGGATCCAATAAAAAAAACAAAGAATGTCAAAGATCTTTAGTCAAACAGACCGCTCAAGTAGCTTTCTCTATTCTTCTTCGACGTCAGCAGCTACAAGCGCACGTCAACCTTCTCTTTTCTTCTTCGACGTCAGCAGTTACAAGCGCACGTCAACCTTCTCTCTTCTTCATCGACGTCAGCAGCTACTAGTGCACGTCAATTTCTCTCTTCTCCAACGACGTTAGCAGCTACCAGTGCACGTTAGACTTCTCTCTTCTCCAACGACGTCAGCAGCCACCGGCACGCGTCAAACTTCTCTCTTTTCCAACGACGTCAGCAGCCAACCGGCGCGCGTCACACTTCTCTCTTCTCCAATGACATGATCTAAGCAGCCACCGGCGCATGTCAGACTTCTCTCTTCTCAAAGTTTCCAATTTCCAGCTAGTGTCCAAGCTTCCTCTTGCTTCAGCCAAAGTTCAGCTTGAGGGGGAATGTTAGACAATAATACTAATAGTACTTCTTGTAGTATTGGTTATGGTAGTGTTTCATTATTAGTCAGCTTCCTAATCCTATTTGTGGTAGATGTTGTATTTAGTTAGTTTCCATTCTCTATTCCTAGTTGTGTTAGGAGTCTCTCCTATATATACTCTATCATGTACTTCATAATTCAAAGAGCAATATTATTATTCCAATATTTCAACAAATACTCCCCCCTTTTCCCCATTTCCACTCTCACTTGTGCCGGTGGACGTAGCGCAGTTGCCAAAGGCAGATAATGCTTAGGGAGTATACCTGAATTCGATTTCTGGCAGCTGCACTAGCTAGGGGCATATATGCTCAACATAGTAACTTTGCAAGTTTCGGGGTAGACTCAATTTCCTGTCAACAATCTGCGAATATTGAACTGGGTAGAAAGCACGCGATTAAAATTAGTAAATTAATAAAATCACTATGATGAATTAACGAACAAGGATGTACCACATGGTCCATTTTGCAAATTTTGAAAATTAACGTGAAGCATATGACATCCATCATCCATGCCCTTTGATCGAATTATAAAGGCATTAGAGGAAAATAATTCATATTGTGAGATCCACAGAGTTGGGGCAGATTTAATTAACCTATATGGCTACATTGTGTGTTTTTATTTAAAGATTGGAGATAAATACTTAATTAACTAACTTAAGAGTAATAAGTGATGAGTAAATGAAAATATTCCCATAGTATTTTAGTAAATTTTTGAAAAATTAAAAATTATTATGCATCAAAGTGAAAAGTATGATAATTTTTGAAAGACAGAGAAAAATTGGAATTATTTTAGATATTTTTTTGATGATAAATTGCTTTGGCCCTACCAAAATCCATTCAGGCATTCATGGTTCATCCATTAACCCATTGCCTATCCAATGAATTGATGTGTACGGAGTAATATATTTGAAGAATTTTTTTGATTAGTCATGTGTTTTTTTTATTTTCTTGAAAACTAAAAGATTGATTAATTAAAGAATGTCTTGTCTAAATTAAATTAACGTACAGTACGGTACTGAATATTATCTCATGTTATGCAATTCCAATCTTTAGTTTAATTAGTACCCCTAAAAGATCTTTAAATGATCTTGACTCTTTATTTTTAGGTATTTTAATAATCTCATTACTCTCTTTTAAATATATTACAAGTAATTTTTGTAAATAGATATAAACCATAAATTTTTCATGGTTATTACTTATTAGGAGTAATTCAATTCTATATCAAGATTAAAATTTTTTTTACACTTTATTGG